TTGGCCTGAGGGAGGAAGCAGTTGAGACCCTCAGTATGTCTTAAAGACGTTCATCAGTAAGTCTGGTCCTGTACTTGGACTTATTGAAGTTCAAGGTGGAGAAGAGCTTTTCGCTGAAGTACGTGCTTCTAAAAAGGCACATGGGCCGCTTGAACATTCAGGAAAGCCGAAGGAAGCTAGGGGTCAGTTCTCTCAAAAAATGCCCAAGCTAGTCGGCTTTTCCGCTCACCTCCCTGAACTTCACTTTGAGTTGCACTGCAGTTTAATGACCTTCATTTGAAGCACAGAAGGGGCATCATCATCAAAGGAGATGGGGCTAGCAAAAATTTGAAATGTGACTCTGTGCGTCTTGAAGTCTGCAAATCTGTGATCAAAACCTCCTGTAGCCTCAAAATGACATCAACATACTTCTCACCACTGAATGGTGTGCCTGCATCCACAAGTGCCTTGCAATGCTGGGAAATGTCAGGAACGTCTGAGAGAGCTGGGTTTTCCACAACACACGTTTTGTGGAGAATGCTTTCTTGTTGTCATAGGCAGCACTGACAAGTTGCCCCTGGCCTTGTAAGTTCTTGTTCAGTGCATTAAGCTTATATCTGATATCAACAAGAAAAGCTAAGTCCACGAGCCATTTGGGATCACTTAGCACAGGAAAAGCCACTCCATCTTTCTCCGTGAAGGCTTTCACTTCTGCTATCAACTCCAAAAAATTGTTTCAATACGTTTCCCCTGCTGAGCCAATGTGCTTCAGTGAAGTAGAGCGCATCCTATATTGTGACTCCACTTCCTCTAAAAAAGCACAAAACCCTTCAGTGCTTTAAGCTCCTGGATCTGATTTGGTTGATGCATTTCCCAATGTTTACATCACTTTGTTAAACTCCAGGCGTTTGCTGCAAAGGACCTGATGATGGATAATGCAGTGCAGAGCAATAGCCTCTTCCACACCTTCCTTACCAGTCCATTTTTCCTCCCCGTCATTGTTGGCGTTCCATCAATTGTTATTCCAAAAAACCTCTTCCATGGCATCACACAGCTTGTGACATATCTCCTGAGCGGTGGTCTGGCCATGCATTGGAATTGCTGTAAGCAAGTACTCCATCACCTCAAAGCAGTCAACAACACCTCGGACATACACTGCGAGCTGAGCAGTAACGGTGATATCTGTGGTCTCATCAAGAGCGACTGAAACACTGAAAAAAATTTCAAAACACTGGCTTTCTCACACAGTTGCTCTTAAATGTCACTTGACAGGTCAGAAATGCTGATGTTGGCAGAAAGGCTGATGTTGCTAAACTGACCTTTCTTTTATGGACAGACTATATTTGCAGCCTGCAATATGCACTTTTTGACAAATTCACCTTTGTGAATGGCTTTCCTGCTTTGGCAATCATCTCACTAACCACATAGCTAGCTTTCACTGCTGCATTATTCTTTTTGGTTGCTTTCTTGAAGAAATCTTGTAGCCTCAGTAGATGTTTTAAGACTGGCAACCTGGTTGGGTTTCTCGTCTCCCTGGTATTTTGCATACACCGCAGCATGTCTAGTTGTGTACTGACGATTCAAATTTTATTTCTTGTGCACTGCAACTTTCTCTGTGCAAATATGACACGCTGCTGTGCTCAACAAAGAAATATTGCATTTCTCACTTTTCCTGATATTGTCTGTGGTCATCACCAACCTTTTTCTTCACTGCAGGCTTTGAAAAAGAAATGTTTGGGGCTATGCAATATGTACATAATTCTACTTGATGTCATTGTCGCATTGAAGTTTCAATCCAATGTTTAGCCAAAGCACGGGAACGTCTAAATGCATAGAGAACGTAATTTCAGCGTCTTTTTCTTGTAACCGCAGCATGGCGATCGGCGGATTAAAGCCCGGTAGCAGTCTCATTTGTTTTTACCCTCGATGTTCATATCTTTCAGGATGACATTAACACCATGGCAGTTGTAGATGGTAGAATGTAGAGGGTTAGCGAGAACAAAAAGGCGACTGTTCACGGACTGTTATCCGCTGTGCTGTTGTTACAGGGAAAAAAAGCAGAAATGACACCGTGCTGTTGTTGATGTCATTTGTTTTGACTACTTTTACAATATATATAAATATATGTAATGTACATTGTATGAGGACATGCACCTATGCCACCGGCATGTTGGTTAGCACTGTTGCCTCACAGCTAGACAGTCCTGAGTTCAATTCCACCATCAGACCAGGGTCTTTCTGTGTGGAGTTTGCATGTTTTCCTTGTGTTTGTGTGGGTTCTCTCTGGGTACTCCAGCTTTCTCCCACAGTCCTACAACTTAAGTAAGCTCCAAGACTCACAAAGAGCAATAACTTGAAGCAAATGCTGTCTGTATCAGTCTCTCACACTGTTGTGGAGAAAGTTTGGCTCACTCTTCCTTACAATTTTGCTTTAGTTCATCATAGTTTGGGGTATTTGGACATGCACTTCTCTCGTGCAAAACCTTGATTCTTTAGTCATTTAGCTGTTCCGTTGTAGATTTGCTATGTTTGGGTCACTGTCCTGTTGCATAATACAGTTAAAGCCAAGCTTTAGCTGTTGGACACGCCTGACATTGACACCCCCCCTCCTCAAATAATCAACACCCCTTCGACTTGACAATTATTGCCAGGTGTTTTGTGCTGATGTGTTGTGCCAAACACATCCATTTTGATTTACTCTGTCTAATAGACATTATTGTACAAGACATGTTGTTTAAACACCATGAAACAGTTTCACCCTATTAACAGCAAAGACCTGGAGGACATCTTAGGTCAACTGAACTCCTCCTCCTGCTGTTTAGATGTCCTGCCAACAAGTTTTTTCAAAAAGGTCTCAAAGACTTTAGAGTCAGACCTGTTACAGATCGTCAACTTTTCTTTAATATCAGGTGTGTTTCCAGAACCACTAAAAACTGCTGTAATAAAACCTATACTGAAAAAGGACAATCTTGACAAGA